TAAGTCGCTTGTAAGTAGTGATATGCAATAAATGTCTTTGATTTCGACCAACCAGAATTCCAAACTCAAGCACTGACCTCAGTGAATATCCTCAGTCATCCCTTGCATTGTCGAATCATATCAGGACTCAATTTTTTTGCATAACCATCACCTAACCCGTTTGGGCTAGCACCGGATCAACCAACACACACGCACACACACACACACACACACACAAACACACACACACACTGGTGCTCACCTAATTATCAATTCGAAGTTCTTCTAACCTCATTTTCAGTGAAAGAGCAGCTCCTTGATGCATAAGTGTGTGTGTGTGTGTGTGTGTGTGTGTCAGTGTGTGAGAGGATAATAGTCGGGACGATGATCAATCCAAACAAACATTTAAATTCGTTATTCTCCTCGAATTAGACGTTGTCACATTCTGGTTGTTGTTCTTGACAAACGATCAACCCAACTGCCCTGCACTGATGATAAACAAACCACTAAAACGATACCTGAGAAAGTACGAGTATTTTGTTGAGGTTTTACGCGGCTCGCTACCCCAGATTTCGAAGTCGAGACTGCTGGTCTTTATGCAAGCTCCGTTATCGTCATGTGCGGATAATCAACGCGAAACAACCCACATTTAATTTAATTCGGTTGGTATTTGTGAAAATCTTGGTCTTTAGGCGGGGATTTAAATTAGAACCAAAATAGCCGAGGTCAATTTTACCATCTGAGCCACTGATTCGTATATGATTCATGCACAAAGTAACTGTGTTAATCGAAGGAAGGACAGATCATGAATCACGAATCGAGTTCATAACTAGAATCGCGCTAGTCTCCCGTCACTGAGACGCAAGAAAAAGGCCACAGAAGTACCGGTTCATTTAATGAGAGAAATCAATGCGATTAAATTATATCAAAATAGAAATATTATTGGTTAAACGGATATCAACCAATCGCCGTTCTCGTTGTTCCAGTCACATGGCTTCTGTTTGAACTGCATGACTGTTGACTGATCGATACTTTTGGTCTGTGGTCCAATGTCCGTAAGTTGGAACGCGTAGCTTCTTGACTGGCGTCATCCGGGAGGGCTGATTCACCACAATAAACATTCCCCGCACTGAAATTTCACCGGTCAAGATGGAAAGTCTACTCGTTCTATAAGTAGTGAAAATGGATTGACTGAGAAATTCCTTACACATGATACATTATTCTCAGGGATTGAACAGTGCTTTCAGAGAATAACGAATATTTCGGTTAACAAAACACTTTGTTAAAATAAGAAAAACAAACATAACGCTATAAATTCAGAGCCTCCTTATGTGTGCCGGAGTGGGGGGAGAGGGCTTTCGATTGGGAATTCACTATCGAAATCTCAGATCACAGGAAGCATCCGGGTTGTTTGAATGACAGGAGAGAATCGGATACCCAAGAGCGTGTTCTAACAGAAACTATTGTTTCATTGTCCTGTCAGAACAGACAATTCTGATCACTGGGGAAAAAACTGACCGTTACAGATTTAAGGTTGACGATCGTTTTTCCATCAATCTCAAGTTCGAGACAACGAAGGGGAGCGTACTGCCTTGGGATTAAAACGAATTTCTTAAGGTGGGAAGAGGGTAAAACAAGCCCGATTAACAAAAAACCAATCGATCTCTCGCATCAGTCAGGGTACAACAGTTTGTCGAAGAAGCTGGTCAGAATGAACTAACCAGATGCCAAATGGGTCGGTGCACTCAATTTTCCACCCGAACGCGAACGGAAACAAATATAGTTGAAGTGTCACTTGAGTGTGCACACTCAAACAATCTGGAAACAATTGATTTTTGTTTGTTTTTTACCGGATAGCAATATATATTCTTTCTTTTCAGTTGTGCTGGCGATGGTGGTCATGGTGCTAGTGATACTGGTAGCGTATTCGACCTGTTTGAAATTTTGCATGCATCAGCTTGCTGGATAGGAGGTAGAAAGTTCCCCGTAACTCGAATCAATATTTCCCTGGTCTGATGCCACTGGGACCTTAGTTCAGAGTTTCAGTTCTCAATCGCACAGATCGTTACTGTGAATTCGTGGTTTCGACAGTTTTTCTGCATCACCCTCAGCATGCATCGATCAACCCGGAACTTAACAGGCACAACATACAGGTGATTCACTAAGACAAATACATACGGCTGAGTAAATTTTTCGGTTGCAGTTCAGGTGCACTTTTACCCGATTAAGCTGTATCTGATATCAAAGAGTAATCACAATT